TACCAAGAACTTCTTCTTCTTCTATTCTATTATGGCGGATCGCAAGCAACTTTCATATGAGTACGCCATCTACTGCACATTAGTGCGTAGCAGCATAACTTACATCCATTATTCTATTTTTTATTTTATTTTGCATTATGAAAATAAACATTGCTCTCTTTAATCTAAAAGTATCCTCTATGTTTCCTTCAGTTACCAATATTCCCATCCATGTCCTGTCCTTGTTATTTTTCTTAATCTCTCCTTTTCAGGCTCAACACGTAACTGATTAATGTGTGTTCTACATTTTCTTTCTCTCCACAACCTTCACATTTATAATTTTTTCTCCCAGTTAGACATAAAATGTCATTTAAATAGATAAATTATATAGCTTATTTTTTTAACTTGAGAATAAATAAATTAAGTTTAATGATGCTAGATGAAATGCCATAGCTAATGCTTAATGTAAGATATGAAGTAAAATTGTTTACAGATACGAATACTTATTTTTATACCTCAAATTGTTATGCCACAAAACCTAAGCTCAACTTGAATGCTTGGGAAAGCCTTTTGAGAATATGGATTGTGATTGGGCTTTAAAGGCAAGCCATGAAAGACATAAGACTATGGGTATAGAGTACAAACACAAATTATTTTCTTTAGCATGAGCATTTATTGAGCAACAACAAAGTCAAAAGTAAGATTAATTATCTGAAAATACGCAAGAAGTGGGTTCCGTTCTTTAATACATAAGAATATCTTGCTTTTTATTTAATATTCATCGTCTTCCTCCTCTTCTTCAAATGAGTCGATGCCCAGCTCTTCATAATCCTTCTCCAAAGCAGCCATATCTTCTCTGGCCTCTGAGAACTCTCCCTCCTCCATTCCCTCTCCAACATACCAGTGGACAAAGGCTCTCTTGGCATACATGAGATCAAACTTGTGGTCGAGCCTGGCCCAGGCCTCAGCGATGGCGGTGGTGTTGCTCAGCATGCACACAGCTCTTTGCACCTTAGCAAGGTCTCCTCCAGGAACCACAGTTGGAGGCTGGTAGTTGATCCCCACCTTGAAACCTGTGGGGCACCAGTCCACAAACTGGATGGTACGTTTGGTCTTGATGGCGGCAATGGCCGAGTTGACATCTTTGGGTACAACATCGCCACGGTATAAGAGACAGCAAGACATATATTTGCCATGACGTGGGTCACACTTCACCATCTGATTATCTGGTTCAAAACAGGCATTTGTGATCTCAGCCACAGACAGCTGCTCATGGTACGCTTTCTCAGAAGATATAACTGGAGCATAGGTGGCCAGAGGGAAGTGGATACGAGGATAAGGGACCAAGTTGGTCTGGAACTCTGTCAGGTCAACATTCAGGGATCCATCAAAGCGGAGAGATGCTGTGATTGAGGACACAATCTGGCTGATAAGGCGGTTCAGATTGGTATAGGTTGGATGTTCAATATCCAAGTTCTTGCAGCAGATATCATAGACGGCCTCATTGTCCACCATGAAGGCACAGTCGGAGTGCTCCAGTGTGGTGTGGGTAGACAGGATGGAGTTGTAAGGCTCTACTACTGCTGTAGAAACCTGGGGTGCCGGATAGATGGCAAACTCAAGCTTTGACTTCTTGCCGAAGTCAACAGAGAGTCTTTCCATGAGCAGAGAGGTAAAACCAGAACCTGTTCCACCACCAAAGGAGTGGAATACCAAGAATCCCTGGAGACCACTGCACTGATCAGCCTGTAGACGCAGAAACATAAATACTAATCAAACCATTCTAACAGCTCATTTTATTTCTCGCATGGACTGTTGCTGAGTCTGACTGGATATGCTCATTGACAGACTAACTCTGTAATTTTCTTAGAATTTAGGTCCAAATAAAAATATGATTCAAGTGTTTTACCAGTTTGTGGATCCTGTCCATGACAGAATCAATAATCTCTCTGCCAATAGTGTAGTGACCTCGGGCATAGTTGTTCGCAGCATCCTCCTTTCCAGAGATCAGCTTTTCAGGATGGAAGAGTTGACGGTATTTTCCTGTTCTCACTTCATCTGATAATTTAGAAAAATAAATGTATGACTGTTAGATCAATCTGATCAGTGAAAAATAGCTAAATTTTCAAACATTTAGCAGTTCAATTTGATATTTATGTATGTCAAGAAAAGAAGTAAACAACTTCCAAAAATGTACTTTCTATATATATAAATAAGAAATAAAAAATACTGACCAATGACAGTGGGCTCCAGATCAACAAAAATTGCCCTTGGGACATATTTCCCAGCACCTGTCTCACTAAAGAAAGTGGTGAAGGAGTCATCAGGACGTGTGGGGGAACTGCTTGCCTTCTGGCCGTCTGGCTGGATACCATGCTCCAGACAGTAGAGCTCCCAGCAGGTGTTCCCCATCTGCACACCTGCCTGGCCCACATGGACAGAGATGCATTCACGCTGCAACAGAATAAAGACATTATGAGCAACTTCAGAAGGCTTGAAACAGTGTTATTATGCATTTCAGCCACTAGGTGGAAACAAAGCCAAGACGATCATGGTAGAACTTCACAGGGACAATAAAAAGAGGTCAAGATGCAGATGTCCCTAGATTTCATGTAGATGCTACAAGTGGGTGTGAACTGTTTGTTGGCTGGTACAGAGGTTGAGCTCACACACCACATATTAGCAGTTGCTATTCATGCATTGAAAATAATTTAAAAGGACACTTGTCATGGTGGCAGACCTGGAAACATTAAAATTATTTAAACCAATTTGCCACTCGTTACCTATTTAATGCCCATAATGAAAAAAAAAAAAAGAATATATTTATGATGAACCTTGTATGAGTATAGGAAGTCTGACCATATTTTTTGTTCTCAACTACATATTACCCTGCAAGAGCAAAATCAGACCCTATATGTACAAATGACTTTCAGGAGTAATTGTACCTTTATCATTTTTATTTTGAAAATCACTCATATTTTATCCTTCTATTTCACAGTTCTGAACTACTGGTGGTGAACCCATATAAAATCTGAAGGAATCATGTTGAAGTTGTTGCAGTCTGTGGTTGTTATGTTAAACTAAACTAAAAGTTCAAGGTGAACAGGTACTTCATCTTTTTCCCTTGCCTGACTTGCCAGAGGTTTCAGTTTGGCAGAGTTATTTTTGTTAACTCCTACTAACCTGACACGTAGCTGTAAACACAGACTGCCAGCCTTCCAAACACTGGTTATCGTCAAATAGAATTTTAAATCCTATTCACGCAAAGTTTTTCTCAAAACTATGTTTACTACATGGGTGATGAGGGTTTAAAATGATAAAAAAAAAAAAAAAACTCACCTCACGTATGAGTAAGTAATGCAGAGATAGATTTAAAAAGCAAAACTGTCTACAACTGTAAACCTTTTAATGACAAGTAGACCTTTTGGAGGTGTGGCTGCAAAACACACAGTCTGGTTCTTCACAGGCATGTGTAAGGCACGGCCAAGCCGACTTTGGAAACCAGTTCTTCATGAAAACTACATATACGGTTTAGTTTTCCAAACTGTGTGAAACAGTTCAATGTCTGGCAGAACTAGATCCTTCATGTCACTGAACATGTCACTCAGGTTTCGGAACTGATAAGACTCTGGATCGCATCTCTATGTCTCTCCTCCCTTGTGTCTCTGACTACATATTTTTCAGAGACGCCTTCTGAGAAAATAAATGGTGAGGCTGGGGGCATATTACTCTATATACTTGTCCAACATAAAGCTTAGTTCAGGATTACTTTTGAGACTAAAATGCATGTGTGGCACCAGAAAATAACCACAGCATCTTAAGTCCTAAACTCTTATAGCAGGAATTAACACTGTTATGTCACTTTAAGAATGTCAATAACCTGATTCTTGCTACATTTGTGACAAAATGTCTCTGTTAAAATATATTACAAATTTGAATAAAACTCAGTATAGCAATGAAGAGTTAAACCATACAGTTTAATTCCAATTGGTCCTCCACCTAACCTATGCTGCTGCAACTGGCTGCATCATCTGATGAATCCAAGAAGTCCACCTAACCTCCAATTAAATTTCTAGAAAAAAAAAACAAAAAACAAAACTGCAACACGCTTAAAGAAAGCTAGAGAACCTACAAGTGGCTTTTGCTAAATCATCTATTTCCCTCAACTCTCAATTTATACATCATTATTCACTGTTGTCATCAGCATTGTGCTCTCCGTTTTCTTTTCCATCGAAAGTATACCTGGCCTAGTGTTTCTGCATTTGAATTCACATGTCTTTTACTTACTTTAACACTCCAGCTAGTTAAGCTGTATCTGAACTTTGGTATCAACTATGTACTGGATAAATATAAAACTCTACCTGGAACAGTTACCCCTTCTTTTGCTGTACTGGAGTCATCTAGAAAGTTGGAACTTGGATGTGAAAGATTAAGGTCTGTTCCCTTGTCTTATCCAAATATGTTGTAGTTGTATGACAGAACAGTAGGATTTGTCAACTGATGTGGTTGGTAACCAAGCAACAATGCATTTCTCTCCTTCTGTGCCTGTTGGCTCTTTCAATGGGTTGGCATACCGTTGCCCTCAGGCAACAAACCACAAATCTGTACCTCACGATGCTCCTTTATTTTATTTTTTGGGGGGAATGATTTAAAATACCTCCAGACATATTTTTGTCCAAATAAAAGAGGTATTGAGGTTCATGTGACCTTTTACTTAGAAGAGGAACAGCTACACCTTGCCTCCTACTTGTAAGTTATACATCACTTTTCTTCATGTTTAAACTTGGGTCACTCTAACTAAAAATATTTTCATATCTGCNTTTTTTTAACTGGCTGAGATAAAATATATTTAGCTGGTTTCTGTTTGTACTGCTAATTGTCCATCCCATGCAGTCATTACTTCTGTTTTCTTGTCAAAGAGGGTAGTGGTTTTACATAGTTCAATACATTGTATAATAAATCTACTTGAAAGAGACAAACCCCCCACAAAGTTGTGAATATGGTTATATGGCAAACATTTCATAACATGAAGTTTTCTAGGAAGCGGATATGCGATAATAGAGTACACAATGACTCACTTTCATGCGGGTCCAGTCTTCATTATATAGTGTGCGGTCTGTGTCATCTGTGGAGTTCAGATATTTTGCTCTGAAATCATCCCCTATGAGTCGCAGGTGCTTGGCAAAAACCATGCTGCGCCGGGTCTAAATGAGGCGAAATAAATGTAAAGATCTCTGCACATTCTAACAGAAAACATCCTTTAGCATGCAAATAAAGGTTAATGTGCTTTCTCAGAGAGAGAAGAGCAATGCCCCAGGATAGGTCAACATTAGCCTAATGTCAGATGTCCCCTCTGCTGTCCCTGACCAACACGTCATCAGCAGACTCTAGCAAGCAACCCAATCGTCCGGCCCTCAACATCAGCCACATCCTGGGCCATGATGGCAGTTCAGCTGTGTGATGAGTTTCAGTTTAATGCCTTTTTGGACTGTTGTTCAAGAGCAAACAATTGCATTTTCTGTTTGAAATGTGTAGTTTGTTTCAATGTTAAAGAAAGAAGTGATGAAGCACTTGATGTGAGGGGATTTGTTGTTTACATGTCCACTCAGTTTCAGTTTTTTTTTTTCTCTCTCTCTCTTTTTGACATGCCTAATGTCAGAGTAATCATTTAAAATGTCCATAAGGCTTTTGAATTTTATGGAAATAAGTCCTGAATGCTCCTTTTCGAAATGTTGGTTAAACTGGTTCTGAATTGTTGTTAAGGAAAAAAAAACGAACAAAAATAATCCTTTTGTAGACCAAAACGTCTAATACAGAGGTAGTGTTACTTACATTCCAGTAGTCTTTTCCAGCATAGTGATCATGTAGGAGAGTCTCTGCTCTGTCAAGCATGACTGAGCTAAAAAAAAATAATAATAATAAAAAAAAATCATCACAACAATGCCCAAACAAGTTGATTAAATCTGAGTTTCAGTAAGGCCAAAGAGAACAAACAGAGACACACCACTCTAAAACAACAAAGAATTCAGATCATTCTTCCCTGGACACAAACAAAGGACAGGGATGGGTTACTTTTCAAGGAATGTTGCACCTAATCTTTCTCAGTATTTGAAAGAGTGGAACCATTTTTAGTTAGATTTCAATTTTGCCTGATCCCGTTTTTCCCCCCTAAGGACTGAAACACATAAAAGGACAAATGTGGTCCAAATAATAATAGCAGTCTTGTATCCCACAGAAAATAAAGGAACTACAAAATAATTTTAATTTATGCATCACAGGATATGCCTCTAACTTTGATCAGACTTTTATTAATTATTGTCAAGATGTGCATCAAAGTATATGCACATTGGTGAGCATTCTTAGATGTGATAAATAATAATTTAAAAAAAAACTTAAGAAAAAAACAACTGTTTGTGAGGGGATTTGTTTTTTATTCTCCACTCAGTTTAAGTTTTGTTTTCAGTATTTGAGCTGCTGATTACTGATATGTCAGTCAAGGAAAAATGGAGGATTCTGATTTCTGGAAAACTGACTGGAGCATCATCAGTGGTAAGGTGAGATCATGACATAGTTTCAACAGTTTAACAGTAAATTCAATGCAGAAGCATTTCAAGTTAAACAAAACTGACTCACCCCAATGTATTTGGGCATTATGATTTCTATCATTATATCCAATATACTTCAATGTTAACTTTTCTTTGGATTTTATCATTTTTTGAATTAAAAATGTGTAATGGTATATGGTATTTCAGAAAGTATTTATGTTTGCGGAACGTGAGATATATTTGCGGACTTACACTGCTGTGAAGTTTTTCTGAAGAACTGGGGCCATGATGGATGCATGGCCCTGAGCCGATAAACATGTCACATTTCGAGCCCTTGTTTCTTCATAGCCCCAAAACCAGCCCCTGTAGAAACACACAGAATAGTACAGAAAAAGAGCTTGTTTCTACATGTCTGATTAAACATTTCATCAAGATGAATTTATTTACTTGACATTTATTCTTTGTCATTCCTACTGTGCTCTCAAGCTGGTGTATATTACACGTATAGCCTCTTGGTCATGGACTATGAAAACTTTATTTGTATTGTATTTTTTATTTTTTTACCTGTAGTAGCCCTGTTTATCTTTGGTGTACAGAAGCTTCTCAATACATGCACGCTCATCAACTTTTTCCTCCCATTTTCCATCAGTCCATCCCTCGGCATAGTTCTGTAGCACAAGCACCTGGTCTATGAAAGGGCCTCCATTTTCTAAATTGAAAAAGGGAACAAGTTCTGCTACAGTGAATTTGACATTTACATCAACAGTATAGTTTAAAATGATTAAATGTGCAAAGTGGTGTTCTCACCAGCAATAAATTCCTCATACTCAATAACGGGTACGTTGGCTTGCAGGCTGGTCAGGCTGAAGAACTCTCCCCATGGGATACGGATCTGGTGGATATCAGGACTTTGCCAGTGATAGAGTCGACCCCAAGGGGGGAGGACCAATACCCAGTCATCCCCCTCTTTCCTCAAAGTCTTGACCAGTGAGGCCATGCGGATGTAGACATCTCTTCGCAAATTAAACCCTTCAGGTGGGTTTACATCATATAAAAGGTACCTGATATGCAAAAAAAAAAAAAAGATACATTTTAGTACTAACTTTACAATTATACATGTTGAATCAAGTCTACATTTTGCTTATAGTGTTCTTACAAATCATAAGATTAGGTTTGATCGAATCGAATACGTCACCTTTTGACGATGAACAAAAAAGCAAACAAGTTTTCAACTGTTGCAGGCAATTTTACCACTGCAGGGACGAATTAAGACTAGGTTTAGATTAAGGTCCATGAAATAATATTTAATCATTTATTCTCTATGCCGAATACATACACAGCACAATGACGTTAGGTTAACCTAGGTAGGCATACACATAAAAAGGGTTAATAAATCGTATAGGTAGAAAGAGCTTAAAATAACAACTTTTTTAATGGAATCATGTGTAACGCTCGTCGGAGGAAGAGGGCTCGAATAATAGGTATGAGGCAAACACACACTTAAAAGTCGAAGACTGTTGCCAAATAGTGACGTACAAATAAACACCAACTTGTAAAGAAAAAGCGACAATTTTCAATTTAGCATTTCTGACAAGCTAGGACAATAAACTCACCGAAGATCCCTTGCTGCAGAGATTGACACTGAAGCCGTGCGGCTCGCACTGAACACATCTTCAGATTGTATTGTTTGTAATGCTGCAAAAGCGACGAAAATAGACAAAAAGAAAGGGCTAAACGAATCCGTTGTTGCCACACATATAAGAGGTATATGCAGTGGGCTATACGCCATTTTTCCTCCCGGCCACGCATTTCCGGAAGCTGGGAAAGCGTCTGTAGTTGCCAAGCAACTACCAAGAACTTCTTCTTCTTCTATTCTATTATGGCGGATCGCAAGCAACTTTCATATGAGTACGCCATCTACTGCACATTAGTGCGTAGCAGCATAACTTACATCCATTATTCTATTTTTTATTTTATTTTGCATTATGAAAATAAACATTGCTCTCTTTAATCTAAAAGTATCCTCTATGTTTCCTTCAGTTACCAATATTCCCATCCATGTCCTGTCCTTGTTATTTTTCTTAATCTCTCCTTTTCAGGCTCAACACGTAACTGATTAATGTGTGTTCTACATTTTCTTTCTCTCCACAACCTTCACATTTATAATTTTTTCTCCCAGTTAGACATAAAATGTCATTTAAATAGATAAATTATATAGCTTATTTTTTTAACTTGAGAATAAATAAATTAAGTTTAATGATGCTAGATGAAATGCCATAGCTAATGCTTAATGTAAGATATGAAGTAAAATTGTTTACAGATACGAATACTTATTTTTATACCTCAAATTGTTATGCCACAAAACCTAAGCTCAACTTGAATGCTTGGGAAAGCCTTTTGAGAATATGGATTGTGATTGGGCTTTAAAGGCAAGCCATGAAAGACATAAGACTATGGGTATAGAGTACAAACACAAATTATTTTCTTTAGCATGAGCATTTATTGAGCAACAACAAAGTCAAAAGTAAGATTAATTATCTGAAAATACGCAAGAAGTGGGTTCCGTTCTTTAATACATAAGAATATCTTGCTTTTTATTTAATATTCATCGTCTTCCTCCTCTTCTTCAAATGAGTCGATGCCCAGCTCTTCATAATCCTTCTCCAAAGCAGCCATATCTTCTCTGGCCTCTGAGAACTCTCCCTCCTCCATTCCCTCTCCAACATACCAGTGGACAAAGGCTCTCTTGGCATACATGAGATCAAACTTGTGGTCGAGCCTGGCCCAGGCCTCAGCGATGGCGGTGGTGTTGCTCAGCATGCACACAGCTCTTTGCACCTTAGCAAGGTCTCCTCCAGGAACCACAGTTGGAGGCTGGTAGTTGATCCCCACCTTGAAACCTGTGGGGCACCAGTCCACAAACTGGATGGTACGTTTGGTCTTGATGGCGGCAATGGCCGAGTTGACATCTTTGGGTACAACATCGCCACGGTATAAGAGACAGCAAGACATATATTTGCCATGACGTGGGTCACACTTCACCATCTGATTATCTGGTTCAAAACAGGCATTTGTGATCTCAGCCACAGACAGCTGCTCATGGTACGCTTTCTCAGAAGATATAACTGGAGCATAGGTGGCCAGAGGGAAGTGGATACGAGGATAAGGGACCAAGTTGGTCTGGAACTCTGTCAGGTCAACATTCAGGGATCCATCAAAGCGGAGAGATGCTGTGATTGAGGACACAATCTGGCTGATAAGGCGGTTCAGATTGGTATAGGTTGGATGTTCAATATCCAAGTTCTTGCAGCAGATATCATAGACGGCCTCATTGTCCACCATGAAGGCACAGTCGGAGTGCTCCAGTGTGGTGTGGGTAGACAGGATGGAGTTGTAAGGCTCTACTACTGCTGTAGAAACCTGGGGTGCCGGATAGATGGCAAACTCAAGCTTTGACTTCTTGCCGAAGTCAACAGAGAGTCTTTCCATGAGCAGAGAGGTAAAACCAGAACCTGTTCCACCACCAAAGGAGTGGAATACCAAGAATCCCTGGAGACCACTGCACTGATCAGCCTGTAGACGCAGAAACATAAATACTAATCAAACCATTCTAACAGCTCATTTTATTTCTCGCATGGACTGTTGCTGAGTCTGACTGGATATGCTCATTGACAGACTAACTCTGTAATTTTCTTAGAATTTAGGTCCAAATAAAAATATGATTCAAGTGTTTTACCAGTTTGTGGATCCTGTCCATGACAGAATCAATAATCTCTCTGCCAATAGTGTAGTGACCTCGGGCATAGTTGTTCGCAGCATCCTCCTTTCCAGAGATCAGCTTTTCAGGATGGAAGAGTTGACGGTATTTTCCTGTTCTCACTTCATCTGATAATTTAGAAAAATAAATGTATGACTGTTAGATCAATCTGATCAGTGAAAAATAGCTAAATTTTCAAACATTTAGCAGTTCAATTTGATATTTATGTATGTCAAGAAAAGAAGTAAACAACTTCCAAAAATGTACTTTCTATATATATAAATAAGAAATAAAAAATACTGACCAATGACAGTGGGCTCCAGATCAACAAAAATTGCCCTTGGGACATATTTCCCAGCACCTGTCTCACTAAAGAAAGTGGTGAAGGAGTCATCAGGACGTGTGGGGGAACTGCTTGCCTTCTGGCCGTCTGGCTGGATACCATGCTCCAGACAGTAGAGCTCCCAGCAGGTGTTCCCCATCTGCACACCTGCCTGGCCCACATGGACAGAGATGCATTCACGCTGCAACAGAATAAAGACATTATGAGCAACTTCAGAAGGCTTGAAACAGTGTTATTATGCATTTCAGCCACTAGGTGGAAACAAAGCCAAGACGATCATGGTAGAACTTCACAGGGACAATAAAAAGAGGTCAAGATGCAGATGTCCCTAGATTTCATGTAGATGCTACAAGTGGGTGTGAACTGTTTGTTGGCTGGTACAGAGGTTGAGCTCACACACCACATATTAGCAGTTGCTATTCATGCATTGAAAATAATTTAAAAGGACACTTGTCATGGTGGCAGACCTGGAAACATTAAAATTATTTAAACCAATTTGCCACTCGTTACCTATTTAATGCCCATAATGAAAAAAAAAAAAAGAATATATTTATGATGAACCTTGTATGAGTATAGGAAGTCTGACCATATTTTTTGTTCTCAACTACATATTACCCTGCAAGAGCAAAATCAGACCCTATATGTACAAATGACTTTCAGGAGTAATTGTACCTTTATCATTTTTATTTTGAAAATCACTCATATTTTATCCTTCTATTTCACAGTTCTGAACTACTGGTGGTGAACCCATATAAAATCTGAAGGAATCATGTTGAAGTTGGTGCAGTCTGTGGTTGTAAAGTTAAACTAAACTAAAAGTTCAAGGTGAACAGGTACTTCATCTTTTTCCCTTGCCTGACTTGCCAGAGGTTTCAGTTTGGCAGAGTTATTTTTGTTAACTCCTACTAACCTGACACGTAGCTGTAAACACAGACTGCCAGCCTTCCAAACACTGGTTATCGTCAAATAGAATTTTAAATCCTATTCACGCAAAGTTTTTCTCAAAACTATGTTTACTACATGGGTGATGAGGGTTTAAAATGATAAAAAAAAAAAAAAAACTCACCTCACGTATGAGTAAGTAATGCAGAGATAGATTTAAAAAGCAAAACTGTCTACAACTGTAAACCTTTTAATGACAAGTAGACCTTTTGGAGGTGTGGCTGCAAAACACACAGTCTGGTTCTTCACAGGCATGTGTAAGGCACGGCCAAGCCGACTTTGGAAACCAGTTCTTCATGAAAACTACATATACGGTTTAGTTTTCCAAACTGTGTGAAACAGTTCAATGTCTGGCAGAACTAGATCCTTCATGTCACTGAACATGTCACTCAGGTTTCGGAACTGATAAGACTCTGGATCGCATCTCTATGTCTCTCCTCCCTTGTGTCTCTGACTACATATTTTTCAGAGACGCCTTCTGAGAAAATAAATGGTGAGGCTGGGGGCATATTACTCTATATACTTGTCCAACATAAAGCTTAGTTCAGGATTACTTTTGAGACTAAAATGCATGTGTGGCACCAGAAAATAACCACAGCATCTTAAGTCCTAAACTCTTATAGCAGGAATTAACACTGTTATGTCACTTTAAGAATGTCAATAACCTGATTCTTGCTACATTTGTGACAAAATGTCTCTGTTAAAATATATTACAAATTTGAATAAAACTCAGTATAGCAATGAAGAGTTAAACCATACAGTTTAATTCCAATTGGTCCTCCACCTAACCTATGCTGCTGCAACTGGCTGCATCATCTGATGAATCCAAGAAGTCCACCTAACCTCCAATTAAATTTCTAGAAAAAAAAAACAAAAAACAAAACTGCAACACGCTTAAAGAAAGCTAGAGAACCTACAAGTGGCTTTTGCTAAATCATCTATTTCCCTCAACTCTCAATTTATACATCATTATTCACTGTTGTCATCAGCATTGTGCTCTCCGTTTTCTTTTCCATCGAAAGTATACCTGGCCTAGTGTTTCTGCATTTGAATTCACATGTCTTTTACTTACTTTAACACTCCAGCTAGTTAAGCTGTATCTGAACTTTGGTATCAACTATGTACTGGATAAATATAAAACTCTACCTGGAACAGTTACCCCTTCTTTTGCTGTACTGGAGTCATCTAGAAAGTTGGAACTTGGATGTGAAAGATTAAGGTCTGTTCCCTTGTCTTATCCAAATATGTTGTAGTTGTATGACAGAACAGTAGGATTTGTCAACTGATGTGGTTGGTAACCAAGCAACAATGCATTTCTCTCCTTCTGTGCCTGTTGGCTCTTTCAATGGGTTGGCATACCGTTGCCCTCAGGCAACAAACCACAAATCTGTACCTCACGATGCTCCTTTATTTTATTTTTTGGGGGGAATGATTTAAAATACCTCCAGACATATTTTTGTCCAAATAAAAGAGGTATTGAGGTTCATGTGACCTTTTACTTAGAAGAAGAACAGTCCTTTTCATGAAGCAGAGGTGCATGCTACACCTTGCCTCTTACTTGTAAGTTATACATCACTTTTCTTCATGTTTAAATTTGGGTCACTCTAACTAAAAATATTTTCATATCTGAGTATGTAAAGAAGCATTATAGATCATTTCAAGACAATTTTTTAAAATAATTTATATGCTAAAACTGTGTTTTTTTGTTTGTTGCCTCAGGGCAACATTGCGCATTTAGGGCCCTTTTGCCCAGACAATATTATTCTAATGTGATGATATTCAATTGATTACAAAATAATTATCACAGCCAATTTTTTTACTTTATTATTGACTAACAGCAAAAGGAGATGGATGCAAGATCGTTTCATGGACAAAAGGTGCATGGTTCATAAGCTGGGGTCATTCCCAATGAAAACATGAGGATCCACTGTACAACCATTATTTCATTGTTTGTTTATCCTCAAAACTGACTTCAGTCCCAAAGAGTGATAAGCTGGTCATCAGTGAACTAATGTACTTATTCCAAGGCAGGCAAAGACTGAAGCAATACCTGCCAAACCCAAAAATATGGGTCTGGAGGGAACTTTGCATGACTGGAGCAGATGGTGTTCCTTACAACCTACACAGGGCGAGCCGTACCACCACCAAATCTACCAGATATGGGAGCTGATGGAAATGTTGTCCTTTGCTTGGCTCAAATTCTAACAAAAAATCAGATCTACAAACTCTTATAAAAAGAACCTGCAGCCCTAAGTCCTGTCACTGATGTGAATCTGGTCGCTACAACCCATAGATAATCAGATAAACAGATGGTGATTCCCAGGTACGCCAATAATCAAGTGCCAAAAATGTGATACACACTTTTTTTCACATCAGCAAGCAATTCCTTCCTGATGTTTAACATGTAATAGGGAAAAAGACTGATTTCAACATCCTTAGTGATTCTAACATACACATGTACAAACACACAAATGCTCGTTTTAGTAATTTGCGCAAATGTACCATTCATTAATGAAAGTTAGTTTATTTTATATTTTGTAAGTTGGAACCATGTCTGATTTATTTTTGTCAAAAAAAGTTTTTTTTATGAATATAGTTTTTGTTTGATTCGTATTTCATTTCTTATAATCACTGTAGAAAACTTGGTGTTTTAGACCCCTTGTGGCGCATTGTTGCCCTGAGGCAACAAACCCAAATCCGGTTCCGGGAGGTGTCAGGGTCCGATTTTATGATTGATATGTAATTAGGGACCAACAAGCTCCCAAAGAATGCAGGAAAATATTTTTTCCCCAAAAAAACAAAAAGTCATGCCATAGAAGGTTAAATTGATGGCAGCCATATTGGAGTTTAGGGTTGTGGTTGACATTTTTCTGATTTGGAGTGCTGATTTCAGAGGACCTTCTCCCAATGTTTTCAGACTTTTAATTTTCAAATGAAACAAATAAACTGTATTTTTCAACCAAACGTGTTTTTTAATGTCACAAAAAACATAATGATCTTAAAGGCCCAATTGTAAAAATACTTTAAATTGTCAGCATGTGGTATTTAGAAAACTTAGAGTTTATTGAGGTGATACTTGTAAGATGTAATGAAACCTTTGTTGGATGCAAAAGTGTTATTGGTTAACAGTTTCTTAACCAATATTGTACATTACAAATAAAAACTATAACCACTGTTGCTTACAATAGGCTGCCAAGAAAGTGCTGATGGTAACAGCTGCTAACTACACACAATTTCCAAAGTAAAGTTCCCTGTTTTGAATTTATCATGAAATAAGGCTGAATGGGTAATTTTTTTTTTACTTGCCCATCATAATCAACAGTAATCATGTGGGAATTGGGTGGGAAACACCTTAAACACAACGAATCAAAATGAGGATTGTTTTTTTTTTTTCCCATCCAACGCTACAATTTTAACATTTATATGATCAAAAATTACTACAGCAGCAACAAAGGCACTACCGGTAAATGTTATGCATCTAGTTTTCTTTGGCAGGGCAAACATACAGCGTCAGTGTACTCGGTAAAAACTGATGACATTCGTCTTCTACAGCAATTCTGTCTCTGACAAGCTGTGTTTACACTACACAGTGCAAAGAGAACACAGAGGGCAAAAATATGGTGAAAACATAATTTAAAACAATAAAATGACTAAAGTTTATCTGCTAGATGGGCCAACTTAAACAGACATGAAAGCATTCTTCTGCAATTGCAAAATGGCATTTATTCTAATTCTTAAAGCTGCTGGAGAAACATATTCCAGTGAATTCAGAAGAAGTATTTCCTGTTCTGCAGAGTTATTTGTGTTATCTTAGTTGCAACTGGTTTGTCACCTGGCGTGTTCTTGTCACCTAACTATAACTACACTGCTTCTACAATCATACCTAGTTTTTAAAAATGTTACTTCATAGAAACAAGCATATTTTATTTTGGTTCACATAAAACAAATGCATCTAAGTGATGTTGGGAATGCAGATAGACATTTTGTATATTGGACGCATTTTTAATGTTTTTCAATCACCTAATAATAGACAAGTCATCAGCACCTGCTCTCACAGCCAGCTCAGCTGTTACTGACGGTCACTATTTCTGACAGAGGGGTCGTGCTTCAGCAGGCCACACTAGGAAGCACATCAGGACTGTTGTATCATTTTAGCACGATCTATCCAAATTCCGAAGAGACGTCATACAAACAAAACTTTGGAGTGAAAGTTTCTCTAAAGCAGGCATATAGGATTATACTTGCCATGGTTTTAGAAGAGTAACCGCAAACAGGAGGACTTTTTCAGACTGAGCTTTGCTTTCGTAGCGTCTCACAGCGGCCCTCAACGTGGTCCTGGTGAGAAGGTTCTGCCAGGTTGGTGAAGCCAAGAGCTGCCACGAACTGCTGTGATGCATGCCACACCCATCTGTCAGTTTGACATGGAAGTGCATTTCGAGCTCACGCGCAGGTTGTTTTGAGGTCGGTTTTCTAGAAATGTTAGTCCTCACCCAAACTCATTCCGCTGGAAAATAAATAAATAAATAAATGAAAGCCAAAAATCAGATCTAACCTTTTCGAAAAACAAAACAAAACGAAAAAAACAACAACTGATATTTAATTGTATTTGCAGTGTGGCTTGTTAAACACTAGGGGTCGCAGTTTGAATAAGCAGCAGTGCAAGGCGCCAGATATACATGCACGGGGCACATTGGACACGGCGCAGGGCAGGACCTACTCAAACCTTTTCAGACTGGTATTGAAAACTATTTTTTAGTGTTAAATTGTGAACACTAGAGGTCGTAGTTTGTGTGAACAGTAGTCTGATGTGTGATCTACAGGAAATGGAGATGGAGAAAATAAACAGAATTTTCACAGATTTCACAGTCTTGTTGAAAGAAACATTTTAAATGAATTGAGAGCATCAAAATGTTTTCAGTACAGATCAAAATCTAGGGAGACTTGTGTTTCACAGTGATGACGACTGTGACGTGCTGTGTCATGCTGGAGAAAATGTTGTTTATTATCGAAATGTTCTTGGATCACTGGGCATTTTAATCTCATTCTTTCTTTGGTCAATGCAGCATTTTCAGGCAGAGCTGTGAGTGAGCTGACTCCCTTCAAAGAAAAGAAGCAACCTCACACGAATAGTCTCAATATTTTTCAATGTTGGCAAAACACAGTCCTTATGTTAAGAATTCACTATTTCTTTTCTACACAGATTTCTAGACATCCCAAATAGTTGAAAATGGGGTTTGAAGGAAGAAAACTTTATCTCACGTCCCTGCTGTCTAATCCAGGTACTTCCTGTTGAGCCCCAGACTGTCCTTTGATACTCCTTCGTAGCCCTTCTTTACACGAGGCCAGTGTCCAAAAGCTACTGACTCGTTGCTAAAGCAATTTATCCTTTGTCTTTTAAATTATTGATGATTTGATTCACAATGTATGTCTTTATAATTTTAGCAGGAGCTTAATAACGTAATATGTATTAGAAAACAGCAAGGATATAAAATAAAAAACAATTAGCGGAAAGTTTTTGCATGAGTCCTTTGCATGACCATTAATTTATGTTAATTTTACAATTGTGTTATTTAGTAAATCTGGTCATTGCTACTTTCTTTTAGGGTTTTTTGACAACTGTAGCAACCAAAACGTCTTTCCCCAACAGGCTTAAAGAAATATTTATAGAGAAACATTAAACAGCAAGAGTGAAAGAGTCAATCAAATCTTATCCCTACATGACAAGTGAGGTAAAGAGGAATACCTAAACACCTGCAGAAATTTCTGGAACTTTCCTTTATTCTTGTGTTCACTGTAAGAAACAGAAAGGAGGAACATTATCTAAGAGAACTTTGGCCATTGTACGGAGGAAATGGCTGACAGTAGCTTCTGTTTACCTAAGCTACAGAATGTCTTGTACATGAAATTGTTAAGCAAACAATGCATTCATTACTGCAACGAAAGCTTTACAGTCCATGAACTAAAAGCTGCAGGAGGCGTGATTAGACAACTTCAAAGCTTTTATTTCTGATGGACTTCACACAGTGGAAGTCAATCAGAGATTTATGACTGGATCAACACCTCTTGGAGGCTAGTGTGGAGCATAAATATGGTAGACGGATAAAATAGGTTGTGTGTTTCTCTTTTTTTTTTTTTTTTTTTTTTTTTTTTTTTCTTAGGTTTTTATTTGGGGGTTTTTTTTAAAATTACAACTTTA